TTAAAAAGGAAAAGTAAAAGAAAAAAAGAAAAAGAAGAAAATAATGCCCTGACACTAAAGTGACTTCAGTGGTAGAAATATAACCACATCCATATATTCAGAGCAGGAGACCTGTAGAAGGAACAAAATGACTGAGTGAGTTGCTGCAGCTCTACAGACAGCATGCACTGCCCCTGTTTCTTTGTGCTTGTGGCAGTTCACTTTATAGTTAAATTTCCCTCAGACACTGTGCATAGGGGATGCTAGTATTACATGTGCTGGTTTATTCTAGTGTATGACAAACAACAGAGCATTTTCAGTAAAATCCTTTATAAATTTTGCTGTTTAACTCCCTAAAGGCTTTCATTCCCAAGGTCAGTAGCAAACTGCAAAATGAGTCTGTGGTATGAGGATGTGAGAGCTCACACTGCTGAGCAACTGGGGATGAGATGATGGAGTGTGTCATGAAGTGACCAAGCAGCTAATGCCACAGAATATTGTCATGAAAGCCAAGCTGAGATGCAAGATTTGGTTCCAGATTGACCTAGTGTTAAAGTAAATCATAGTCTCTAAAGGAATGAGGGCAACGTGCCAGGAAATAAAGAGCTGACTAAATCTAACCGAGTGACTTGTATTAGATATTGGGGTCCAGCCTAAATAACGCTGTTGGAATTTGTGTTGAAAGAGTATTAGATCTCTTTATAAATCCTCAATGCAGAATGCATGTGTGAAATAGCACAAAAGGCTTTAATAATTTTAAGATCTGAGCTCTCCAAGTCCAAACTTGTAGGATGTAGTGTCTAAGGCTTGATCTTCATAAGGAGCCTGTGTGCCTTTACATCAGTTTACCTTGACTTTTTGATGATAATTTTTACATATGATTTTGCCCCACTCTGCTACAGACTGAGCCTGGAGAGAACAAACAAGTATCTATCAGTGAAATATGTCTGCACCTACTCGCACTGTAGGAAGATAGCACCCCAGAAACACTACTCCACAAAGGTGTTTTTAGGACATAGTTTGAAAACTTATTGGCAGGAGAACCAACTTATGCCATTTACTTACTTGGCCTCAGCTGGGTCAGTTCAGCTTTTTGTCCTCCTGTCACTGTCCTCCAGCATGTCATTGCCACATGCCAGCCCCTGAGTTTCAGGATGAAAGAGCAGTCCAGGATTCCATATGTGATCACACAGCATAAGGCTGGGTGGTCATGCCCACAAACACTTGTGCCTGTGCAGTCAGTTCCATCTCCACCATCACGCACAAAGCAAAATCCTGCTTGTCCTTCCTTGACAATTCCCTCTTGAGTAAAACATTTATGAGCCAGAAAAATTTTTTGTATTCTGACTTCAAACCAGTCTTCCTCTCACTCCTGAAGCAAGCTTTCTTCCTGCCTCCCCTCAATAACCAAGGCTGATGAGCCAAACTCTTCCTTCTCTCTCATTACTCAGCCTGAGACCTCTGCTTCCTCTGGCACATTTTTCACAGGGATTTTTTAACCAAACCAATTACCTTGCAATCATAGAGAGAGAGAGAACTCTAGCCACTCTGACATACCATTTCACATTTCATCATGAATATGAGCAAGATGACTGGGACTCAGCATCAGACTATGCTAATTCTGCAGCATCTTGTAGTAAAGCTGTAGAAGGGGAGCTACCAAATGTGTGCCAGCGAATTAACAGATTGCTATCTACTATCACAGCTCTGTCTTTGCAGTGTGAACTTCCTGTAACTAAGGATCCTCTTGGAGACTAACTTGAGGACTGAGGAGTGCGGTACAATGCTGGCTGTTTTCTGAGTATCTAGTTGTCACCAAGGTAGCTCCCAAACATGCTGATGCAAAGCACTACACAGGATGCCATTATTTCAAACACCCTTATGTGTGAAAGGTGACACTCAACCTTCTTATGATCCTGCTTGTCAGATTTAGTTATTTAATCTGTATTAAAGGTCCATCTTTAACATGTGCACAAATTACAGAGGGAGTGTTATTTGTGATATCTATCTCTTTATGTTCTCTGCTACTTCTGAACTGTGCAGAGTCAACTTTGAGGTGTAAGTCACACTTCAATTAAAGGTTACTTTTTATCAGTATACAAGTTTAATACATCCTTTCAAGAAGGATCAGTGAAAGATACTAAGAATTGTCAAGGGGAAGGCTTCTATAGGTAAGGAGACTGAGACTGCAGCAGGTGAGGTTGGATTCAGCTGCTACAGAACTGCAATTTGGACAAGAGGGTCAACTTCCCTGCTGGTGTCACATTCAGTTAGTAGCTTCACACTCACAGCTTCCAACTATCACCAACTATCAGTTAGCTTCACTTCTCATCACATTAGACAGTAAAAAGAGTGCATGCTTGTCACCACTGCAATTAATAGCCTTTGACCAGGGTGAAACAGACTGGAGAAGTCCTTGAAAGAAAACATTGTTTAATACAAAAGGTCAAAATACAATTAGAACAAATAGCATGCTGAATAGCATATACACTGCCCCACAAGTCCCAGCAATTTTAAAACCATGACACTTCATTCTCAAAACCACCATAGATGGGAAAAGTCACCTTCTACTTGTTCCTCCCCTTCTTTCTAACTTTACAGAGCACTGAAAGTTTAGTCTGTATAAAGTATAAAATTTGTGCATTGCAGAAGATACCCTGTACTGTGGAAGCCCAATAGATAGATGGAACTATGTCTTCTTATGAATCTTCACCATCACCTTGCCATTCTATTAACCGCTTCATGTGAATACCCATGAGATACTGCTGTTACAGTTCCCCAGCCAGAAGGAATGCATACCATACTGGTTTGGAGAAAGTCCAGCAAACCTAAGAGCACGGCAGAAGACAGCTAGGAACTCCCTCTTTGTCACAGCCATACTATTTGAGTGCACAAAGAGAGGGCCCTGTCTTTGTGGCCGTGCTGCCACATAGATACGGAGAGCTTCAACAGGACATACCCACATCTCTTCAGATAATCTCAGTTGGATCAAATACCTCTGTTGGCCCATATGAAATGTATGCAAACAAAGGTGTGCGCTCCTTTCTGTCAGCTGGAGGTCATTCAAGTACAGGAGCTCTGGCTGTAATATATTTTGGTGATTTGCCACCATCTCTTCTATACGGAGTGCACCAAAAAAAGCTACAGTAAACATGGCACGGAACAATATACACTCATAAGGAGAGCTGCACACAGACTCCAGGGTCCCCAGGAGAGATCTTAACACTTCAATTGTTACAGGATAGTATGCATAATTTGAAGGGTGAGTCCTACATTTTAACCTTGATATCATGGAACGGATAACAGGATCTTTAAGAGGATCAGGATAATCTACCATTACGGAGATAAAGGACAGTCCTTCCATATACATTATTATTTTTGTGGGAGGCAGATCCTGGGACTCCATGGCAACCAGAAACTCTCTTATTTGATCGACTGGAATTGGCCAGACTGCAGATAGAGCCATGCCTTCTCTAAACGCAAGAAAGTTTTTCAGGCCTTCATGGTAGATTTGCCACAAGTGTCTATCTCCCGAGTCCTCCAGTAACAGCAGAACCTTCAGGGGCCAAGGGCCCAAGGGATGCTTCTCAGGAATCTGGTTGAGTTCATCTGCTGAAAGAAAGCCACATTAGTAATGCCAAAAAAGGTGGTCTCACAGACAGTAAAGCAGATAGAAGTCTCCTCCCTTTCAACATGTTTCAGCTTTTACTTGAACTGCTCTGAAAAAAGCCTGTCCAATGCATTCTCATGGCTCTCATCTACACAGCTTCCAACAGTCAGACCACAGGAGAAAGATTAGAGTCTCAAAAATCATAAACCCCCAGCTATTTATCTCTTTAAAGCAACATCTCAAGCCTGGTGACAGATGCACCACCCTACTGCAAGGTTTCTATGACCTCAGACCTCCTTCGGTAGGCACAAGGGGCTGGGAGTGGCAAAACCACCGCAAACCAATAATAGATTCAGCAGTGCACAGAGGTCCCAGAAGTCTTCCAGCACTGGGGTCAGACCCCATGGAAAAACGTGCCAAGCCCACCTCCTGCACCACACAGCCGGTCAACACTCCCCAAGGCCACACTCACCAGCGTCTTCCCCATTGCCAGCCTCCAGTCCGCGGGTACGCCGCTCTCTGCTGCAGCCATCGGGGCTGCACGGCAGCCACCCCATACCGGGCTCCCGCCGCAGCAGTGCCAGCAGCGCCCAGAAGGGTGAGAGGGCAGCCGCCAGCTCAACCCTACTTCTCTGCATCAACAACAAAACAGCAGACGCTCAGTGAGAAGCACGAACCAGCGACCCCTCAGTGGTGCCGCCGCGCTGCCCTTTTATAGCCCGGCTCGTAGTTCTACCCCGCTGTCACGGCCCCCCTGCGTGCACCTCTGCGCCCCACCCCGAGCCTGTGCCTGAGGGTCAGTGCGGGGTTCCCCCCATCCTGCTTCCTCCTCCCACGGGCCTGGATGGGAGTCGCCTGTAAGTGAGACTTTGCCTTGGAACTGCTTCAGCGGCCCGTTATCGCCTTCACTGTGCTGCAACCGGGGGCTAAGGAAGGAGCAGAGGGTCGGCCCGCGGGTGAGTTAACCTCCTTGGCCCTGGCCTTGTTCTCTCCTGCCTAAAACCTTGTGTAACTAAAATAAGAGAGCTGGCAGCAGGGAGAGGTACAAACACGGCACCGGCCTCGATGTCTGCCAGGAGTAATGGTTAAATCTTGAGGGAAAGGAGGCTCCCTGGGAAGGCGATTGACCGCGTCCCTGCACAGCCTTCTTCAAAGCGAGATCGAGAGGACTAGCAAGCAGGGGCAGGTGGTGTCCCATACGGGACACCTTAGCACTAAATCCAGTCACATTCCAGGCTTTGTCAGAAGACAATGTGGTAAACAACTGGAAGTTTCACAGCTTCCAGTTCGGAGATGGGGGCCGGCTCTGCACCCTCTTGTCGCATTCCAGAGGGCAGCGCTCCGGACCGAGGGGGTGTTTGGAGGAGGGCGCAGCGGGCGGACCCGCGGCCATAAAAGGTCCCCGCGGAGCTCAGCTCTGGCAGGCTTCGTGTGGCGCGGGGTTGAGGGGCATCAGCTGGGTTGGTCCTCCTGCCATGGCCTGCAGTGCCCGCTCCCCAGCTGCGCCTGTCGCCGCGCCCTTCTGGGACATGCTGGCGCTGCTGGCCCGGGAGCCAGGTATGGAGTGGCTGGAGATGAGACTTGCTGGGCAGGCAGTCACCTCCCCGCGTCGCAGCCCAGAAGCACCGTGCAGCACCGAGGCGCGGATCGCGCAGGCGGCGCGGATCCCGCACGCGGGCGAGCGCGGCGCGGCGGGGGCCGGTAGTGCGGGAAGGGGCTGGTAAGTGCGGACGGGGGCTGCTAGTGCGGGAAGGGGGCGCGTAAGTTGCGGACGGGGCCGGCAAGTGCGGAGGGGGCTGGTAGTGCGGAAGGGGGCTGCTGAAGTTGTGCGAGAAGGGGCCGGTAAGTGCGGGACGGGCGGCAAGTGCGGGAAGCGGGGCTGGGTCAGTGCGGGACGGGGCGGGTAAGTGCGGGAAGGGGGCCGGTCAGTGCGGGAAGGGGGCCGGTAAGTTCGAGACGGGGCCGGGCCGCTGGCGAGGGGTAACAGCATCGCTGGCGGCCGTACCTCCGACCCGGCAAGTTTTTCTTTGTTTTGCTCGAGTTTGCTGTATGACCTTTGCCGTTGTACTTATGCAAGCCGTACCTTGGTTTAAGAAGTAGTTTTTGCTTGTCTTCTCCATTACTACTTCACAACCTTGTAAATTCCCAGCGTGTTACCACATCCAGTGCCTGAAATGGGCCTGGAATGTTGCTTGTTTCCCATTTGAAAAATATCTCTGCCTTAAGTGGCATGTTTGTGCCTCTTGTCCTCATGTGCTAATATGGATCCTCTCTTGCAGGAAGGGAGATTAGTCGTCATGAGAAACATTCCTTGGGACCTTGGCCTCTGAAGACTTTGTCTTTGCTGGAATGCTCAGGGCATAGTAGGCTTTGGAAAGCCTGCCTCGAAGGACTGAAGAAATTCCTTGACTTTAGGAAAAGCATGGGAATGCCTGCAGCCTGGCCAATTCCAGTGGAGCAAGTTAGAGGGTTTTTGGCTGTTGAATCTAATTATTCCTCCTCAAGGACACTCTTGTACCTGGCAGCACTGTCTTATTTATCAAAATTGACTGGTAACTCTGATCCTTTGGAAGATCCTATAACCCGTTGCATGGTGGCAGGGTTGAAACGTCGGGCAGGTATCCTGAGGGACAAATACTTGCCTATAACAATTGAGATGTTGCGATCTCTCTTAGGAGCTCTGGAGTCTGTATGCATAACTCATTATGAGTGCTTACTGTTCCGTGCGTTATTTACTGTAGCTTTTTTTGGGGCACTTCGAATAGGAGAGATGGTGGCAAAGCACCGTAATGTACTGCAGCCTGAGCTTCTGTACCTGAGTGACCTCCAGCTGACGGAGAGGAAGGTGGTGCTTTTTCTGCGTAACTCTCCTGTGGGACAGGAGAGACACATCATCAGCCTTGCGCTGTCTGGAGAGCCATGGGTGTGCCCTGTTCTGGCCCTCCGGAGCTATGTGACAGTTCGTTCTCAGCTGGAAGGGCCACTCTTTGTGCACTTGGATAATAGGACTGTAACGAAGAGGGAGTTCCTGACCATTCTCCGATGTGCCTTGGGTCTGCTGGGGCTGTGTCCAGAGCAGTATGGTGTGCATTCCTTCTGGCTGGGGACTGCTGTCACTGCTGCGCGCTGTGGATATCCCAGAGAAGATGTCACTCGCCTGGCAAGATGGCCCTGTATGATCCCAGAGAGACTCTAGCCGAGGAGACAAAGAGGAAAATGGAAGCTGATGAATTATTTTCTTTATGTAGAGTTAGCTTTTAGCTGTAGTTTATAGTCTTTGTCAGAAATTTAGTATTAACACATGAAATTATTTTTCTACCTCACAATGCAGTGATCTTGTGATAAACTGAGAAAATGATTCGAGCTAATTAAGAGGAAACAGTGTAAGGTCAATATGGCCTGGAGAGAAAAGGAAAACAAGTCGTAAAACTTAATTGGGCCCCTATAAAGGGATAAAACAAGTTACCTCCCTTTTACCTTGTGTAGGATTTGTAGTGAGAGAATTTTGTTTAGTTAGCTAGATAATAGCACCTTTCTTAAAATTTATAACTTTGTATAGATAACAAGCAAACATCTGCTGAATGCCAGATTTAACAATATATTATGGATGCTTATAGATAACATTCTTGTTAAGAAATATCTGTGGAATGTCTGACCTAACAATTTGTAATGTTTATACTCATGTACCTAACAATGTGTAATGTTTATACTTATGTATAATGAATATTCATGTAGTAGCTGGAAATAAATGTAGAACAAATGTCTTCTTTAGGTGTGACAGACATTGGGAGTTGTTGAACCCCTTCCCTGATCACCCAGCACTGAATTTGCTTTTATCATATAATAAATTCTGATTGGAAATTGCCCAACTGGGTTTCTATTTCTCACAATCTGAAGATGACTCAGAACTTGCTTGTGCTTCTGTGGTGTTGAAGGTGGAGGGAGTCTCAAAACTGTTGTGCATGAACTGCAGTTTTATCTTGTATAGTAGAGTTAATAAATATTGCCTTTTTAAAAACAGTTTCTGCCTACTAGTCCTATTGTTCCTCTTTGCTCAGAAGTGGTAATCTTGGCTTTGATAGCAGTGAATGACAAACGGACTCTTAAGTTTTGAAGGAAAACTCCCGAGACTTTAAGGTAATAATTGTAAAGAGAAAGTAGTTAAATGGTAGTATGTTTTGGCATAGCTGTACACTTTTTAACACTAACATGTCACTAAGATCAAAAGAGAAGTATATGTCAGGTTTGGAAGCTCTTAATTCACTTGTCTACCATTGGTTTCTGTGTTGCCATAGTTATTATACTGTCTCCTTGCATTAGCTGGCCAAATGGCCAATCGCTTCTTTGGCCCAGCAGCCTTTATAAGCTGCGGGAAATTTGAATAAAGCCCTCTTCGCTGCTGGATTCCCTGCGTGCTGTGTGGTCTCTTGGCTTAGGTACCTCCGCCGCCTGTCCCTGCCACGTGGGACGGGTGGCGGGGGGATGATTCCAGCCCTGAAAACCTACACAGAGCGGGCCGGCAGTGACCCCCCAGAAACCCCAGGAACTGCGACACATGGCGCCCAACGGCACGACCTTCGCCGTTTGAAATTCGGTACGGAATTTCAAACTACGCTTTAAACTGTAAAGGGTGGAAACGCTAGGGGCTCGCTCCCCCTCCACCATTGACTGGTCCTGTCTCTGTGTTGCCGGGGGGGTGAGACGTTCGGAACGGTGGTGCCGGCTCCGTGGAGCGCTGGTGACTGAACTGTGCCGTGTGACTCGGGGGGGGCGAGGGCCGGGGGAGTGCGGGCGGCCGGTGTGCCATGGACGCGGCAGCGTGGCTGCGCGGGGGCGCCCCGGCGTGCTGAGACTGCAGCCTGGGCGGACTGGGGACGGTGGCGGAGGCTGCACGCGAAGCACGTGTGTTCCAGCACGGAGGACCGGCATTCCCAAAGTGCCCGCCACGTCCCCGGAGTGGGCGGGCTCTTGCGCTGCCCCGGGGGCCGCGGCGCCGCAGCGCCGGACGGGGAGAGCCGACGCGGAGGAGGAGGAAGCGGCCGCCATGAATCGCTGCCCCTCTGCCCGCCTTCACCGAGCCCAGCCCCGCTCCCGCCGCGGCTCCCCGCCCCGCTGAGGCCCCGGCGTCGCAACTCGCCAGTGGAGAGCACGCCGATCTCGGCAGCCCCCCCTCCGCCCGAGCGCCGCAGCTTCTCTACCCCGCGTCCCGGATCACGCGGCTGTGCTCCAAACACCAAGGGAGCGCCGAGAGACCCGCCCGACTCCAGCCACGCAAGCCGACCTTCCCCCCGCCCCGGCCAGCCCAGCCCCCTGCCGCCCGTCCACCCCTCAACCTCTTTTCCCTCAACTTTTCTTTTCTTTCCAGTTTGTCTTCTCCTTTGCTGTTCATATGTTAATTACCAGATTGCTTCACTTTTACTTATCTCTAACAGGCACACCGTGACCAGCAAAACAAAGAAAATCCAACAACACCCCAGTCCCAGCCCAACTGCGCTTCCAAAAAAAAAAAGAAAAAAAAAAAAAAAAAAAAAAGGGGGGGGAGTTAGAAACAAGCTGCTAACCGCAGCGAAGCACAGCTAACCTTGCAATTTTTAACAACTACTTCAAGTCTTTCTTAAAATAAGTGTAAACCAATTCGAGAGTATTTGTAACAGTTTTTATAATTTGCAATTAGTCAAACTTTAATTATAAACATTAAGATTTACTTCTTCTTTGTTGTTTAATAACAAATTTACATTTTTGTTCTTTATTATTAATTTAGAAATCTCCACACACAGAAGGCATTCGGTGAATATTCCTCGAGAAGGAAATTCGGGACTGAACCACCACACAGGTTCCCAGAGTTATCACAGCTGGAATAGATAACTTTAGGTCCCCAAGATGAAAGACTCTTGGGTCATCCACTCAATTCATATACCCCATAGCCTTAAGCTATATTAGGGGTATACGCGGTGGAACGGTCTCCTGGACACAGCCAAGGACTAGCCTAGTTGATCAGGAGGCGTCAGTAGCTGGGGGTGAGACCTCCCTAACAGGCTCGGGGTGAGCACCCACACATGCTCGGGTGGAAGCCTCCTTAACAGGCTCAGGTAGAGTCACCCAAACAGACTCAAATAAAGTCTAATTTAGAGATTTCTCTTTTTGTAATAGGAACATAAATTTTAAAATTACCTGATTTCCCAAATTCAATAAAAATCGTCTTACTCACTTTCTCATTTTGATATCAAATTTTACCCCAGGTTCAACTAAAAAATCTTCATTCTTAAATCCCATTAAAATTATAAATGTTGTCTTTATTATAATAGGAAAGGGTGAGATGTCAGGTTTGGAAGCTCTTAATTCACTTGTCTACCATTGGTTTCTGTGTTGCCATAGTTATTATACTGTCTCCTTGCATTAGCTGGCCAAATAGCCAATCGCTTCTTTGGCCCAGCAGCCTTTATAAGCTGCGGGAAATTTGAATAAAGCCCTCTTCGCTGCTGGATTCCCTGCGTGCTGCGTGGTCTCTGTCTTTTGGCTTAGGTACCTCCGCCGCCTGTCCCTGCCACGTGGCACGGGTGCCGGGGGGGATGATTCCAGCCCTGAAAACCTACACAGAGCGGCCGGCAGTGACCCCCCAGAAACCCCACGAACTGCGACAAGTATAAGCTGGGCTATTAGCCAAATAACATACACCAAAGGATGATCTTTTAAAAATGGTGATCATCATAAGATGTTCAAAGCAATATCTTTTACTGTTTAAACAGATGGCAGTGACTATTCATCAAACTGCCTCTGAAAATATTTCATTTTATCCTCTAGACTCAATTCCCTCTGAGCATAAATAGCTTAGTTAGTATTTTAAATAATAAAAATAGCACATGGGTCACCTAACAGTTAATGATTTCATTAAGATGTGATACTTGCTGTCCTTAATTCAACCTACTATTTTCCTGAATTTATTTTTTAAAATCGAGTTTTTGACCATAACTATAAAGTACAATGGCTCAG